AAAAAAAAAAAAATTAAGTTTGACCCAAAAGTCAATCCGTTCGAAACTCAAACTTCATGATTAATATTTCAACAATGATTCTAAGTTTTTATCCTCATTTTATTCATATTTAGAAAACTCTTAAGATATTAGTATTCTTATTTAATTTTAGTACAGGGTCTTACAAAGTCCAAAATCAATATTCTAAAATAATTCTACAGATTAAATGCTAATGACTAGTAACACAGTCAAATCCGAGCTCCTGAACATATAAATCAAGTACAACTTCTGTTTACAACTGTATAATGTGTGAATATTTTCCGAAATTATGTAAGGAATTTTTTTTGCTGCCGTATCTATAACTATGGTGATAGTAATACTGAACTTAAAAAGATGAATCTATTCAGCAGGTTTGCGTTAACCAGGAAACGGAATTGAAAACAACCAAGAGGAGATAACCAATGTAAGAGCATCCTTTTTGCCTTGGAGAAATTAGTGTACAACTCTATTTGAAAAAAAAAAAAAGATTAGAACCTAGGCCTTTTCTATTAGAAAACCAATTATAGGAAGCAAAATAACAAATAAATAAAGCAAAATAAAGANATATATATATATCTATATATATATATCTAGCCTCAATGTGAGAGATTGAGAGAAAATCCCCTACCTTAAATCAAGATTCCAAGCTAAGACCCAAGCTTCAAGACCTTCTTGCTCTCTTTTCTTTTCCTCTTAATCTTCTCCTCCTAGGGTTTCAAAAGATTTGGGTGAGAGGGTAACAAGAATAGAAGAAACTNGAAAAATAACCTAGCAAAAATTCCAGCAAGAATTATTTGCCAGATGAAAATTCAACTCAAACTTCAAGGAAAATATGATTGGGACAACATTTAGCAAACATGCAGGGANGAACCTAGGCCTTTTCTATTAGAAAACCAATTATAGGAAGCAAAATAACAAATAAATAAAGCAAAATAAAGAAAAATAACCTAGCAAAAATTCCAGCAAGAATTATTTGCCAGATGAAAATTCAACCCAAACTTCAAGGAAAATATGATTGGGACAACATTTAGCAAACATGCAGGGAAGGTTATTTTACATCAATAAAACCCAAATGCTCCACTGTACAAAACTAAATTTCCCATAGTTGGCTAAGATCAAGAATAGCTAGTCCCGCATCAGCAATGTCAATTGCAAGCCCTTGAAAGTTGATATTCAAATCCCAAAAATAAAAACCCAGGAGAAGTTAAAATGGAAAAAGAGATTGCCACTTTCCATCACTTCAATGACATATAAGCAAGACCAGAAAACAACGTATCAAGTGTCCAGGAGCAAAGTATCAAACTAGGCCTATATAATGTGGAATTATTTTTCCTGAGTAATTCTAAAACGTGTTGGCAGCAATGCAAGGGATCGGTGGGAGTCCAAGGGACCAATATAGGCTAGTAGAATCCAATTGCACAATCCAACTCCGAAATGACACTATTTGTCATCTGGTTGCAGCTACTTTTGTTGGGTAAAGGCAGAGCCAGGGTCAAACCACATGTTCAAAACCTTTTTTCCTTTGGTAAATTCAAGATCATCATTCATTTTAGGGCCACTGAGATCATTTAATGTTACAGTTAGCTATTTGAAATTAATTACTGGAACAATTTGGAGACTTCCAAAATACTTGTCTGGTAAGTTCCTCTCAGTAGTAAAGTCCGAAAACAACCAACTGGGCTGGCCACCTTTAAAGAACCGTTGATTCTTTTAAGATTCTACCAACCAAAGAAGTTCAGAGGCCAAGTGGCAAGTTTTGATTCCTTATGTCTCCCTCTTTCGGGTCCTATTGCGCCCTTTTTCAAGCTTCACTTACCAGTCTGTGGGTTATTTTCCCTTTGTTATAGGATGTATTATTTAGATCACTTTCCCAATATGCAAGGATTTCATTAAGAATTATCATGCTATCACTAAGTACAGCATAAAAACAACAATGGGCCAATGGCAACAAGAATCACAGTTGCTAATTCAACAACTCAAGTTTTTCTTTTTTTAGGTAAATTTAGATACGCATACAACAATAGTAGAATAGAAAGAACTATAACCGTCAGTTAAATAATAAAAAAGATGGTCCACTGTAGAAAACTCCGGTGGGCTGTGGAGTGTGTCAGATTGTGCAGTGTTTACCGAATGTGGAGAGGCAACAACAGAAACTAACATTGAACCGAAAGAACAAAAAATAACGCTGAACAAAAAGAACAATACACAATTGTGCAACAAGTACCAACCAAGTATGTGGCACAGCTTCTGCACATCACTAGGGGAAGGAACAGTCCCGGGACCTTTAAACACATCGCGACACGCTCCATATAGCCTCTGCAACGCCGTGGGAACTGCCGGCACAGGCCGCTTTGTATTTTTAGTTTTGCATTTCTTCTTCCTAATGACCTTAGTCACAGGTCCAACCGTGTTCCTCCTTTGCTCTACCAAACCAGCCTCGATTGTCATCGACCCACCACCTAAATCTCGCCCAGCAACGACCTACAAATACCTCAAACCCACAGAACTTAATTCACTTGTACGAGTTAAACAGGGCACCCAAAGTAATCTGTTCTGTTGCATGAGAGAAAACTTCAAAAGGATCATATAGATTGCGCGTTTGTTCTTGTGTTTGTCTCAGACAGACAACAGATCTGTGTAAAGAATAAGATTTAAATCGTGATTGAATGGTGAGAAACTGTACAGAGACGAAAGAAAATGATGGATGAGGTTGAGAAAAAGTGCAAGGAAGGTGGAACCATCATATATAAGGAGAGGGAAATAAGAAAACCAGGGGCCATGGAGGATTTTCTAGAGAGAGAGAGTTGAAATGTGTTGGGGAAGAAATCCAGAAATAGAGAGATAAGAGGGCAGGATCTTCTCTTCCCGCCCCAAGAATGAAAGAAAACTGCTAGTCGAGATTAATCGTCCACTGTTTTGGGCTTAGAGGGGTGTCGTGTGTGAATTGACTTGAAATGAAACCACCTGGTTTTGCTGTTGAAAGTGATTGAATTTGTCTAGGCTTCGGATTTAACGAAAAGTCCGCGATTTATTCCCGTTTGGACGGTGCACGTAGAGGTCCAATTCCAAGGGCTAAACTTTACGTGGGCAGTCTTTGATAATCAACTGCACTTGCTCCGGAAGTGGATAGCATTTATTAGTGTTACACATATTTTTTAGGGTTAATCTCATTTTGCATCTTTAAAGATTGTTCGAATCTCAATTTGTACCCTCAAAGATATAAATTTATATCAATGTGTACCCCAAAAATAAAAAATCTCAATTTGCACCCTCAAAGATAGAAATTTGTATCAATGTGCACCTAAAAACTAAATTGATAAATTATACCTAGATCCCCTCATACTTGTCACTTAATCATTTAGACCTCTTCACATTTAGAATATTACTCCTACATCTTATGACATTTGTGCACGTATAACACGTAACTCATTTTCATTGATATCTATTAATATAACCGTTAAAAGATATAATTTTATCCTAATAAAAAATTATAATTTCATATTACCCTTTATTTTATGGGTTTAATATATTCTAAAGTTCAAAATCTAGTTTACCATTTGAATGTCTAATAAAATGTAAATATTTATATAATGTTTTTCATATTACCTTTTATATAAATACCTACATTTTATTAAACATTCAAATGGTAAGCTTGATTTTTAATTTTAGAGTATATCGAATCCACAAAATAAAAGGTAATATGAAATTATAATTTTTTATTAGGATAAAATCATATTTTTTAATGATTATATTAACAGATATCAACGAAAAGTGGTTATGTGTTACACATGCACAAACGTCATGAGATGTAAGGGGAATATTCTAAATGTGAAGGAGTTCAAATGATTAAGTGACAAACATGAGGGGATCTAGGTATAATTTATCAATTTAATTTTAGGTGCACATTGATACAAATTTCTATCTTTGAGGGTGCAAATTGAGATTTTTTATCTTTGGAGATGCACATTGATACAAATTTTTATCTTTGAGGGTGTAAATTGAGATTTTTGATCTTTGGGGGTGCAAATTGAGATTTGAACAATCTTTTAGGGTGCAAAATGAGATTAACCCTATTTTTTATTGCCGACGTTTCAAAATTTAACTAATTTAATTATTTTAAGTAGTGTTTAAAATAAGTACAAACATATGAATCATTTCATGTCATATTGATGCTCAATTGGAATAGTAAAGCCAAGTTCAACATAATCATCATACACAACACCAAATTGAACTAATGAGTTTAATCGAATAAGTCAAATTGTTGTTAAATCGCCAGACTCAATTCAGATCGATCGATTCACACTAGCTCGGTGTACTCATGATTGCGAAGAGCACTCTATCTTGAATAATCAGAAGGGACGTTATATTGATAAGAAAGAATCACAAATAAACATTGTCTGCGTGCCCGAATAGAAGAATTGATAGTAAAGGATCCTAGAATTTATCACTAACAATCCGGTTAAATGTAAGGTGTGCCACCTCACAGTGCCAAAGAGAGAGAGAAACCCTAGGGGAAGGGAAAAGCCACTATAAATCCTGGGTAGGCTAAAGCCAAAGGTGTGCACTATATTTTTGTACAATTAGCTCTTAATACTCTTCGAATCTATATTGACTTAAGCATCGAAGTGCCTCCAACTGACTCGTCTCGGGCTTAGACAGTTTGTTCGTTTTATAAGGGGAGCGGTGCAACATTTGTTCATTTGTCCCAAACTGAACCACTAAAGCAATAAGGGGTATTTTTTCATCGCTTACAATTGGTCCCGTCTATAGAAAACAATGAACAAAAAGTACGATGTCAAGACTATGAAGCATGATCGAATCTCTGATGAATAATGATGTTGGGAATGACCCTAATCAAAATTACAAGGTGTTATTCTCCTCTAACAGCGAATATCCTTACGATAATGATAATCTTTTGTCGTCCAGGTTGAACCTCGAAGATGAGACACAAAAGGAAGAACTACATCAGGAGAGATACCCTCATGCCAAGGGGGAAATTCCCACATTATAAACTTAGTCCAATCCCTTCATGACCAATTGGATGTGCACGATGCCATGCTCAAAAGGTCCTATGACATGAAAAATAAATTAGAGTGAGAAAACAAAACACTGAAGGATGTGCTGAAAAAGGATCAAGTGGGAGGGATGTCTAAGAGAGACCTAATGATCGAGCAGCTGACGAAAGAGGTAGACCGGACTGAAGAGACAAAAGTCTAACCCCTTATAGGAATAAACCAAGGCGTAGAGAAGATTTCTAGGAGATGAATTGTGACGCCCCAAAATCTGGAGGTTCTTTCTCAGACTGTTGATTATCCATCAACTCGCGAAAGTACACCTGTGAGTACAACATAATCCGATAATCATAACCATGACAAACTTTGGGCAGAGTCTTCCTTGTACTGGAGCACTACCCAAACATAACCTATACACATATCAATCACTTGACCATTCCAAGGTCTAATCCCCATCAATTTACACTTAATATTGAACCAATTACATCGTTTAAGTAAGAAGGCTCAAGGCTTGAAGGTTTGATAAGTTATATTTAATTTTTTGAAAAGTTTGACAAATGNGGTCTAATCCCCATCAATTTACACTTAATATTGAACCAATTACATCCTTTAAGTAAGAAGGCTCAAGGCTCGAAGGTTTGATAAGTTATATTTAATTTTTTGAAAAGTTTGAAAAAGGNAGGCTTCGGATTTAACGAAAAGTCCGCGATTTATTCCCGTTTGGACGGTGCACGTAGAGGTCCAATTCCAAGGGCTAAACTTTACGTGGGCAGTCTTTGATAATCAACTACTTGCTCCGGAAGTGGATAGCATTTATTAGTGTTACACATATTTTTTAGGGTTAATCTCATTTTGCATCTTGAAAGATTGTTCGAATCTCAATTTGTACCCTCAAAGATATAAATTTATATTAACGTGCACCCCAAAGATAAAAAATCTCAATTTGCACCCTCAAATATAGAAATTTGTATCAATGTGCACCTAAAAACTAAATTGATAAATTATACCTAGATCCCCTCATACTTGTCACTTAATCATTTAGACCTCTTCACATTTAGAATATTACTCCTACATCTTATGACATTTGTGCACGTATAACACGTAACTCATTTTCATTGATATCTATTAATATAACCGTTAAAAAATATAATTTTATCTTAATAAAAAATTATAATTTCATATTACCCTTTATTTTATGGGTTTAATATATTCTAAAGTTCAAAATCTAGTTTACCATTTGAATGTCTAATAAAATGTAAATATTTATATAATGTTTTTCATATTACCTTTTATATAAATATCTACATTTTATTAGACATTCAAATGGTAAGCTTGATTTTTAATTTTAGAGTATATCGAATCCACAAAATAAAAGGTAATATGAAATTATAATTTTTTATTAGGATAAAATCATATTTTTTAATGATTATATTAACAGATATCAACGAAAAGTGGTTATGTGTTACACATGCACAAACGTCATGAGATGTAAGGAGAATATTCTAAATGTGAAGGAGTTCAAATGATTAAGTGACAAACATGAGGGAATCTAGGTATAATTTATCAATTTAATTTTAGGTGCACATTGATACAAATTTCTATCTTTGAGGGTGCAAATTGAGATTTTTTATCTTTGGAGATGCACATTGATACAAATTTTTATCTTTGAGGGTGTAAATTGAGATTTTTGATCTTTGGGGGTGCAAATTGAGATTTGAACAATCTTTTAGGGTGCAAAATGAGATTAACCCTATTTTTTATTGCCGACGTTTCAAAATTTAACTAATTTAATTATTTTAAGTAGTGTTTAAAATAAGTACAAACATATGAATCATTTCATGTCATATTGATGCTCAATTGGAATAGTAAAGCCAAGTTCAACATAATCATCATACACAACACCAAATTGAACTAATGAGTTTAATCGAATAAGTCAAATTGTTGTTAAATCGCCAGACTCAATTCAGATCGATCGATTCACACTAGCTCGGTGTACTCATGATTGCGAAGAGCACTCTATCTTGAATAATTAGAAGGGACGTTATATTGATAAGAAAGAATCACAAATAAACATTGTCTGCGTGCCCGAATAGAAGAATTGATAGTAAAGGATCCTAGAATTTATCACTAACAATCCGGTTAAATGTAAGGTGTGCCACCTCACAGTGCCAAAGAGAGAGAGAAACCCTAGGGGAAGGGAAAAGCCACTATAAATCCTGGGTAGGCTAAAGCCAAAGGTGTGCACTATATTTTTGTACAATTAGCTCTTAATACTCTTCGAATCTATATTGACTTAAGCATCGAAGTGCCTCCAACTGACTCGTCTCGGGCTTAGACAGTTTGTTCGTTTTATAAGGGGAGCGGTGCAACATTTGTTCATTTGTCCCAAACTGAACCACTAAAGCAATAAGGGGTATTTTTTTCACCGCTTACAATTGGTCCCGTCTATAGAAAACAATGAACAAAAAGTACGATGTCAAGACTATGAAGCATGATCGAATCTCTGATGAATAATGATGTTGGGAATGACCCTAATCAAAATTACAAGGTGTTATTCTCCTCTAACAGCGAATATCCTTACGATAATGATAAGCTTTTGTCGTCCAGGTTAAACCTCGAAGATGAGACACAAAAGGAAGAACTACATCAGGAGAGATACCCTCATGCCAAGGGGGAAATTCCCACATTATAAACTTAGTCCAATCCCTTCATGACCAATTGGATGTGCACGA